CCCGTAACACTGCTTTTTTCCTTACTTGGGATAGATTGTATGATTTTTGTTTTGATTTTTTTTTTGTAAATTAAATTCAGTGGTACGGGAAATATAGAATGGTCTCCTCGATTACAAAACTTGTTATAACGTAGTGTAATGTCTTCTGTGTAACATAACAAAGTCTGTTATAATGAAAAGGTTTAAACTAGTAACCGCTTTCATGATCTTTAATTTTTCTTTTTGTAAATGATTTAATTATTTTTGGGCGAATACAACATGCGATAACTGTGGTCAAAATTCATTGATTCAAAATCAGTCTGAATTTGATTGATTCGTTCGGAGCCTTATAAGAAATTTGCATTTAAAACTGCGTTATTAGATGTAAAGCAAAAATTTAAAATTCGTTTGAAACGAGATTTGAAACAAAAAATTTTCATTGGATTAATTTATTTGTGTGCAGCATTAGATTATCAATCAGTATATATTGACTTGAATCATGATTCATTCATTGGATCGGATCAGTCTAAATTTCGTTGACTTGTCCAGAGCCTTGGTCATAAACTAAATTCTGTTGAATCCATTCTTTTTTTTATTTCTTTAATCAATTAATTCATTAAAATTCAATTCATCACACACACTCTTAAGAAGTTCAAAAATTCGTTTGCATTCAGATTATTTATATTAATGGTTCCATTGTAAATACAGTCAACCATCTAAGTGTACCCTCGTTAAATACACGCTCATAAGTGATAATGATATGTTCCCAAGAGGGGTGCACTTGAAGGGGTTGATTGTATATCTATCAAATAAAATAAAGTAAATTTAAATTATTGTAATATCATCAGGTTTTATCCAATTTCTTGATAAAGCAGCTTTAAAATATGAAGACCTTGCCTTAAAACAAATGAACCTTAAAAATTCTGGCATCGACATCTACTCCGATTCTAATTTCTATATCATAAAGTCTGATTCCTATACATATTAAATCGAGGTTGATATCTACATGCCTCTTTGTAATCAAACCGGCCCTGGATCTCAAATGATGCATGTACCTTTGATGTATCATCTTTTTTCAATACCTGCATCATACCTACATCAAACCAACTTGACTCGACATCATATGATCTGACATTTTTTATTTATGGACTTTCTGACATATATTCTTGATAAACATCATCTTCACTGGGTTGTTTAATAATTACATCATCATCAGACCTGGTAATCTAATAATATTCAAAATAAATTCCTGAAGAAAAAGAGTTAGATCCATCTTTTTATTTAGAAGTATTAGAGCCATTACAAGAATAGCACGTAAAGTGATTCTTTGAATAATCATAAATTTAAAATGCAATTCTGAATACAAACAACCAGAAACTACTATTTCTACGCCAAACCAGAATACTGATTCGATGCAGAAAAGAAAAAATTTCCTAATATCATGAAAATAATGAGACCAACAACCATTGGAGTAAGAATTAACGATACTTGATAAAAAGATTTATTATATATATATATTAGTTCTTCTCCCGCAATCATCGTAAGCACATCTAAAGCACTTAAAGTAAGCCCATTATTCTCGTCTTTTCTTAATAAATTAATTGATGCGGGGTTATAAGACCGACCATAATAGCTATTATTTAGGGAAAAAAGACGCAAAACTAATACTAATGAAATTTTATCAAAAAATCCTACGGTGGATATATTATATTTTTTTAATAACCTACTCCTCTCTTTTGTTCTTCCTTCTGCCCTCTTTTTCTCAAGCGATTCTAAGAAAATGAAATGCTTTTCTGCATCTTAATCATACATATTATCACACAGTGTTCTCTCCTAATAAAAGTAATCGTACTTAAAGAAGAAAATTTCTCTCATATTTATTCTTGTTATGACTTTATCAAATTCAAAACTCGCGTCAAATTTATCCAACCTAAAAATTAAAAATGGAAAGAACCTTTTCCTTTTCAACGTGGTGAAACTAGTTTGAGATCGATTGCAAAGGCATTTAATTATCCATATTATACTGTTCATAAACTCATAATGATAATGGTCCGTCCATCTAGAACAGAAAATTAACAACAATCAACTTGTTTTAATAAGGATTGTTAAAAAAAAATTTGAATATTCACGAGATCAAAGAAGAGTTTACTAATGCTGATATTTGTAATCATACCGTTCGTAAATATCTTCATGAGAAAAAATAATTTGGTCTAAGGAATTGTATTTTGAATTGTTCAATGGTAGTGTGGGTATGGAGGAAAATACAACAAAAATTTTGACTTCAACTTTCATTTTTGGATAAAAGACATGGTGGGGATGTTTTACTAAAGATGGTCTTGATCCTCTTTGGTGAAAATAGAAGGAAAACCAACTCTATTGATTGTATTCAAGTTTTAGAGCACCTTATTGTAATTCTTTAGAAGGCGGGAAAAATTGCATCTTCCAGGACGATAATACGCCCGTTTCATGCTTCAAAAGTGAATGCCTTAGATCATTCGGCAGCAGCTATTAGAAAATTTAAAATAAGAGTGTGAATGAATGATTGAATTATTCCATCATATCGTTCTAAAATCTCACTAATGATTTAAAAACACACCTTGCTACCTAATAATAAAGTTGGGTATATTCTAGCCCAATTAATTAAATCACACAAAGTAAAGAATTTCAGAAAGCAGTCTCAATCCATTCAGAGTCAATAATTTACGGAAATAATAATTTAGATACTTTAATAGTAACATTTCAAAATTAAAAATATTAACAAAATAAAACCCAAATTTTCAAGTTATGGAATTATCAATTTCTTTTTGATTCATAAAAAAAGGAAGATTGTCTGTTAAATAAGCGAACAAAAATATTTAGTAAACTTATTGTTGAATTTGGTACATATTGAAACAATTTACATATTTACATATATATTTTAAAGTACAACAAAATATCTTACCATATATTAAATAAATATTAACTGTTATGAATCATCAGAAGAAAAACCTGCATGTGCTGAAAAACCAAATACCATTTGAAATCTTGATTGTAAAATTTGATATTCTGCACTTTCTTTTTCATTATCAGCCAATTCAATAATTTCTATAAAATATATATATATATATATAATTTTCTTTAATAATTAAAATTTAATTCATAAAAAATATAAATATATTATATTATTACCATTATTATCAGCACATTTAACATCATTAATAATTTGTGATAAAGTTGAAGCTGAAGCTAGATTAATTGGGTATATAGGATGAGATCTGTCATTTGCTCTTTCAGCTTCTCTTTTTACATTTGCCTCAGCCTTTTTCTTTAAAATTTTGTACCTACGCCAACACTATAATATATTGTATTGAATAGATATATATAATATTTACAAGTTCATTAACATAAAAATATATGCATAATCTGTACATGTATATAATTTACCTGGTTATCAGTTCTACCCTCCATACACATACATACTCTTGCCCATTTTCCCAAACCAATCTCTTTTACTATTTGTAATAACTTTTCATCCTCCTAATATAATTATAAATATTAATTATAAAGAAACATACGATTAATAGAATGAACAGAATAACTTTTTTTTTTTTGACAGATTACTTCAGCAGTCCATGGATCTTTTTTAATATCCGGGCTTAGAACATTCACCCAACGTTCACGACATTGTACGTCGGTTCTACTTGGTACAAATTGCTGTATTTTCACCCAATTACCAGGTCCGTACATTTGAACTGCATTTTTTAGTGCCTAGATAAATTAATAATATGAATGTATAGGTGTATAGCTTTACCGAGCTATTATAAATATAATAATAATAATTCAATTTACTTGATCATCTTGTTCGGTCCATCTACCACGTCTTATTGTAGGATTTAATCTTTTGGTCCAACGATGTAGACATTGCTGTCCAGTTCGATTGTCAAGACAATATGCGACTATTAATTAAATTATTATAGCCATAATTATTATAATGTTATTGTGATACTATTAAATATTATTGTAACGATACCTTGTTGCCAATTTTTTTCACCATACAAATCTACAGCACGAACGAGTAGCTCATCTTCATCTTGTGTCCATTTTCTAGTTAATAAATTAATAAAAATTTAGGATGCAAAAATAAAACACACAATATAATCTATTGATTTATTAATAATACAAATATTAATAGATAAATAATTACCGAGGTTCTAAGAATTGTTTGTTATATTGCTTAAAACATTCGGCTGCCGTTCTATTGGTCTTTATTTATTTAACATTTAATATTTAATATTTAAATAAAATCACACTGATAATTAACACATCAATCAATTAAATAGTTAAATAAACACAAACACCCAATTCAGCAGCAATTAGTTGCCAATTTCTATTATTTCTTTGTTTTGCAATTTGATAGAGATTTGATATTTCTTGAGCTGTCCATTCACTTCTATTGACATATGGATGATCTCGTGTTGTCCATTGTGTTAAACATTCTTCTGCATTTTTAGTGACAACCTTAAATAACAATATGATAATATTATTATTATGTATTATTATATATGTCATGAATGAATGAATGGATTGGATTGCTTACATGTTGTCTTGAGATTTCCTGCCAATCCAAATTTTGTACATTGTATAATAATTTATTTTTATTTATATTTAGTACATCTCTAAAAGACCTTCTCCTTTAAATATTTCATTAAAGTAAGTTATTATTACTACCAACACTATAATAGAAATGTTATCATGTAATTAATTAATTAAGTTGATACTAACTCTCCCATTGCAATCAAAGCCTCTAGTCTCATATTTTGTGATTCGATTGCTTTAGCCAATGAATCTCTTTCAGCCTGGTTCCCTAATACGATTATTTAAATAAAGTAATTAGTGGAATGTTTGTTATATACCATAAATAATTAAATAATATACATTTAAAATGTCTTTGCATAAATGAGAAATCTCTTAATTTTCCATCTTGAGTGGCATTCATAGGTGGTGTCTTTATAATAATAATGATAATAACAATAACAATGATAATAACGGCATTAATGGTTTCGTTATTTTAATTAAATGTTATATTTATATTAAAAAAAATTCTCCTCTCACATTTCCATTTGAATCAACAAAAAATGGTGGTGAATAAATAGTTGATTCCTTATGTTCTTTCTGAACATTTGAATTGTTATTATGTTCTTTTAAATGTATTATTCGTTGCTATAATTATATAAATATAAATATGTGTATTGTATGTAAGTAAGCCTGCTTATTCAATTATAAAAAAAAACAAAACTAAATTATATTAAGCATACTTGAGTTTCTTTGTTTTTCTCGATTTTAGCTTTAATCTTTAAAATGGCATTGTCAATTTCAGCTTGATATTTTCTATTTAAATCAAGTACTTCATGAAGTTCTTCTTTTGTCAACGTTGTTTCTGACATTTGAAGGTTTTGAAAACTAGGGAAATGTAAAAGTTGTGTCTTTTAAATTTTGTTGTTTAAAATTACCAATGTTTTTATCAAGATCAACATAATAATAACATTCTTCAAAAATATTCCCGTTTTTTTTTTTAAAAAAAAAATATATATATTCTCTGGTCAAAGCTCTTTTACAATACTTTTAATTAGCTTTATTCCTGATTCATAACCAGGTGCTTATTATGTATATGAATATGGACAATCAGTTGACGACACCAATTACAAGTACTTCATTTTATAATTCCCACAACTTCCTCTTCGTCATTATTATCCCCTGTCAGAAAAAAGATGGCGTTGATAATTTAATGCTCCTGATATCACCGGGAAACATGTTTATACAATGGTGTAGTGATTAGGAACCAATAATTTATAGTAATATCAATTGATGATAAGTTGTAAATAATACATCTGATATTACTAATAGGTGAAAGTCACAATATTTAAGGACTTGTTGTTGATGAACTGTGAGCACAGGATGGAATGGGATGGGAAGTTAATAGAGCTGATTAATTCATCTTTCTTTTTGTGATAATCGTCATCATCGGAGGGTAAAAGAAAGATAAACTCTTGGACACAAAACAAACTCGCATCGATGCGAAAATAACAATATAATCAATCACAAATCTGACAAAATGTCAAACTAATCATTGATTGTGAAAATGGGCAAATTAACGATGTAATAAATCGGACAAAAGTCGAGTTTAAGATCTGAATGCGTAAAAAAGAATGGGATTTTATCACTGGGATTATCTTTGCTTTTGCATTCATGGGGGGATTGATGAAATGATAAAGCATAAACTAGTGATATCGGCCAGCTAAGAAAATTCTGAACGACTATTTTATTTTTGATTGATAAAATAAATAGAGAAAACCATCAACTTTGAAGATAATTCACAAGAAATCAAACAATATAAATAGTTGTCAAATATACAAGCTAATTTTGTATTAAAAGCCGATGAGTTTATTTAGCTTACAAAAACCATCAATTGAAGAAGATTATCTGCTTGTTTCTGAGAAATGTTTGAATGTTTACAAAAAAAGAATGATGAGTTTTCTTGATTTAAACCCATTTTGTGGTGAGTGAATTTATGTTTATATTTTGTAGAAGGAAATGTAGATGATTAAAATGTTAGGGTAAGATATACAATCACAGGAGATGAATTACAATTATGAAATTAGTTTTATCTTGTAAAAAGGTGAATGGTATAAATTTTATTTAATTATTTGGATAACATGTAATTCATTCAATAGTTAAGAATAGATTTTTATTTTAATTCAAATTTGACTTTCTTCCTCCAAAATCTTTCTCTTTATATACCTTCTAACATTCTATTTATGCGGCAGATGAAATTTTCTATTTTTAGAACCCATGACTAATATTTTGGCCTTGCAGCCACTCAACAAATCACGAATTTTCTATTTTTAGAAATAGTATAATAATAATAATATAAGTTCTTCCTATTATTGGTAATAAAAAAATGGGTTTGGTTGAAATTTTTGGTTTGTGGTTAAATGTGGTTTTATGGTTGAAATATGGTTGAGATGTGGCTTTATGGTTGAAATTTTGGTTGAAATGTGGTTGAGATGTGGTTGAGATGTGGTTTTATGGTTGAAATTTTGGTTGAAATATGGTTTTATGGTTGAAATATTGGTTGAAATGTGGTTGAGATGTGGTTTTATGGTTGGAATTTTGGTTGAAATTTTGGTTGAAATATGGTTGAAATGTGGTTTTATGGTTGAAATATGGTTGAAATGTGGTTTTATGGTTAAAATATTGGTTGAAATATGGTTTTATGGTTGAAATTTTGGTTGAAATGTGGTTTTATGGTTGAAATTTTGGTTGAAATATGGTTGAAATGTGGTTTTATGGTTAAAATGTTGGTTGAAATATGGTTTTATGGTTGAAATTTTGGTTGAAATGTGGTTTTATGGTTGAAATATTGGTTGAAATATGGTTGAAATGTGGTTTTATTGGTTGAAATGTGGTTGAAATGTGGTTTTATTGGTTGAAATGTGGTTGAAATGTGGTTTTATGGTTGAAATTTTGGTTGAAATGTGGTTTAATGGTTAAAATATTGGTTGAAATATGGTTGAGATGTGGTTTTATGGTTGAAATGTGGTTGAGATGTGGTTTTATGGTTGAAATTTTGGTTGAAATTTTGGTTGAAATATGGTTGAAATGTGGTTATATGGTTGAAATTTTGGTTGAAATGTGGTTTTATGGTTAAAATATTGGTTGAAATGTGGTTTTATGGTTGAAATTTTGGTTGAAATATAGTTGAAATGTGGTTGAGATGGTTGAAATTTTGGTTGAAATGTGGTTGAGATGGTTGAAATTTTGGTTGAAATATGGTTGAAATGTGGTTGAGATGGTTGAGATGTGGTTTTATGGTGTGAGATTGTAAACCGTGGACCAACCAATTGACCGTTAATATTGACCAATTAGAACGAACTTACTACGGAAGTCA